GCACTGAACTGCATGTATTATTTAATGCTCAGAAAAATAAGACAAAAATATAACACTTTAATTGGTTATGCATCTAGTGAGGAACAGCAAGGACTCAAACCTGGTGGTAAGTGACTGCAAAGCCCATGCCCAAAAGCCACGTGAAATAAGGTTCCATAGTGTAGGTCTATTGGTCAGCTTTTCCACTTCTGTTACAAAACACTCAACACCTACAACTTAAAGGACCAGGGGTTTAATGTGCTCATGGTTTCAGAGGTTTCAGTCCATGGTCAGCTGGCGCTAAGGCAGAAACATCATAGAGGAAGGCCCTGGGGTACAAGCTCCTTACTTCATGGCAGCTAGGAAGCAGACCACACAAGACAGCCAGCAAGAGATATACCTTCCAGTGATCTACCTCCAAAGGTGCCCCACCTCCCAGCGGCACACACAGTTATGAACACCAGTGGATGAGTCCACCGATGAGTACACCTCTCCAGGAATCTCCTACTCTCATCATGTTAAGAGTTAAGTTTAACATTCTCACTACAGTATGGATGAAAATGTGAAATCACATGATTCACAGGCATTTTCATAGGGGAAAATATCTGCTCTACTCTTATGAAATAAAACTATATTTTTTATATTTGCAAAAATTTACCTGTAACATATATTTTATAATACAACAACCATAGCAAAGGATATAGTAAAGACAAGGAACTAGCCCATTTTGAGATAGAATATAGCATATAAAAAATTTTTAATCACAAACTTCCTAAAGGTTTTAAATCAACTTCATATACTGCACAGTGCAAAGCAGTAGTGGTCTTATCTCTACCTTCTTTAAGTTGACTGACTTGGATGCTAATGTTTAAGTGGAACTAACAACTTACAGCATTTTATTTGTGAATTACATCAACTGTACACAAACACAATGAAAAATGAGGTTCACGTCTCAGTTAAGAAAAAAAGCAGTGTTTATCTCTTCCACATACATGTGAAACATTCATTTAATAGTTTGTATTATCAGAGATTTCTTTCTATCCTATTTCTAGGTTAGCATCAGAAAATGAAAAAAACAGGTAAAAATTTAGAACAATATTTAAGAATGACACGTTTATAGAACCAGAGGAATTTACAGTAAAGAGATTATACTGGAGTTTCCAGGCAATAAAATATGAAAAGGAAAAAAAATAAAAACAACTGGAAATCTCATTGGTTTAGTCTACTTCCTATCACTATGACAAAATACTTAAGATAATCCACTTTTAAGGAAGAAAGGAATGTTTTGGCTTGCAGTCTCAGAGGGCTCAGTCTAGGACTGCCTGGTCCGTTGCTTTGGGGCCTATGGCACGGCACTAGATCATGGCACAAGTGCATGGCAGAGGAAGCTACTCACTTCATGGTGGCTAGGAAGCAAAGAGAAAGGTGGCCTGGGGTCGTAACATTCCCCTCAAGGGCATGCCCCATGTCCAGACTTTCCTCCACGAGGCCTCAGCCCTGAATGCTCTCCCACTTCCCAACAGTGCCCAACAGTGGGAGTGGCTCCAGTCCCTAACACAAGGGCTATCGGGACACTATGCAAAACATAGCACTCAGAAAGGAAGGAGAAAAACTGTCTCCTTCACAGCTGACAGGATCATGTACATCAAAATTTCTAAGAAATCTACAATAAAGTTACTAGCACTAATAATTCAGCCAGGTTACAGAATATATGGTTAATATATAAATTCCTACATATTAGCAATAAATACTGGAAACTGAAATGAAACAATATAATTTAGAAGACTGTAAAAAAGAAACACTTAGAATACCATAACACACTGCTGAGAGAAATTTAAGATGTAAATAAACAGGTAGATATGTTCCTGGACTGCAAATTCAATATTATCAGGATATCTGTGTTAGATTTTCATTACTGTAATCAAAGACCTGAGAAAAACAGCTCAGAGGAGGAAAGATTTACTGTGGCTCACAGTGTCAGAGGTTTCAGCCCATGCTCACCTGGTTCTGCTCATTCTGGGCCCAGGACAAGGCGTAAACATCATGGCGGAAGGTGTGGCAGAGGAAACTGCTCACCTCAGGGTGGCCAGAAAGCCGGGGAGGGGAGTAGAGAAGAAGGGAGCAGGGGCCTGACACAGCCTCCAGGGTCACCCCCAATACCCACACCTTCAGCCAGGCCCCCTCTGTCTCCATCCCCTCCCAGTGGTGCATCACATCATGGTCTCATCCCTGGATTCATCCCTTGGGGAAATTAGACCAATCACTCCCCCAAAGCCCCACATTCCAATACTTGAGAATTCCGGGCATTTTAGATCTAAACCATAACAATAATCAATTCTCCCCAAATTTACCTATAGAATCAAAGTAATCACAGTAGATATTTCATAGATTAGGAACTGATTCCAACTTGTAGACACAAATGTAAAGGATCTAGCAACTTCAGGATGCTTTTCACAAAGGAAGATAAAACTGAAGAGCTTAAACTGCCTAATTTCACGACTGACTGTAAGGCTCTAGTAATGAAGTATTGGCATAAAGACAGATCAATGGGGAAGGAAGAGTTCAGAAACAGACTCTGACATACATAATGAATTGATGTGACAAAGCATCTAAGAAAATAGCAAAGGATAGACTTGACAAGAAATGGTGCTAGAACAACAACATATCACTAAAAAATAAATAAACCTTAATCCTTTAGTCATAAAATTAACACAAAGCGATCACCAACCTAATCACAAGAATTAATATTCTAGAAGAAAACAGGAGAACATGTGCGTTACCTCAGGACAGACAAAAATCTGGGCCAAAAATAAACTGAGTTTTATCAAAAGTTAACAACTATTCACTTAAACAGTAGAGTTAAGGAAATAAACCACAAGCTAGAAAATGATATTAATAATACATATATTTGCAAAGTGTATACAGTATAAAGAATTCTTGAAATCCACTCAGAATAGAAAAATCCAATCTGATCAATACACATTCATTACATATATGTACTGATATGTCACACACCACATAAATATGCCCTGTGTGTCAATTCAAAATGGGTATTCAAAAAAGAAAAACATAACTTATTAAACAGAAGATTTAAACATATATTTTACAGAAGATATCCAAACAGCCAATAAACATATGACAGATGCTCGATATCATTAGTAACCAGAAAAATAGAAAGCAAAACCATGAGATATTATTGCACATCATTAGAATAATTCCTACAAACACTACATAAGAATGGACAAGGATATGAAGCAATGAGAAAATCTTATATTGCTAAGGGACTGTAAAATATTAGAATCAGTTTGAAAAAATACTTTGACAGTCTTTTATAATATTAAACAAACATTAAACATTATAGCCAAAAATTCTACTCCTAGGTATTTATTCAAGAGAGATAAATGAAATCATATACTTATACAAAAATTTGTGCAAAAACATTACTATCAACAATATTCATTATAGTCTCAAACTGGAAACAACCCAAATGTCCACACACCGGAGAGTGAATAAACAAAATGTGATATAGATGCACATTGGAATACTGCTCAGCAATAAAATGAAACGAACCACTAAAAAATGGAGCAACATGAGTGACTCTCAAAAACTTTGTGCCGTGCCAAAGAAGCCAGACAAAAAATTTTATATGCCCTGATTCCATTTATGTGAAATTCTAAAATGCTTAAAACTAAACCTTAATGACTGAAAGGGTGTCAGTAATGACCTAGCATCTGAAACCAAGAAATAGGGCAAGGCACAACATAGATTTTGGGGTTGTGGATCTTCTACATATGTAAAAAACTTTATAAATGTAAATAAATGTCAATCTACATATTTAATAAGATTCACTTAAAAATCTTTCTAAGCATATTCATTGAAATGAGACATACATGATTAAAAGAAGAGAGCTGATGACAGAGATTTAACTATAAATATTAATTATAAAGAACTTACATTAAAATAAGGATGGAGTTCATCAAACCTTCGGTGCTATGAAGACAAACCACTTTGGGAAAAAGGACTGGAGCAAGTCCTTAAAAAATTTATTCTTGGCTGGAGGCATAATTCAGTGGCAAGACACTTGCCTAGCATGCACGAGGCCCCAGGTTTGATTCTCAGCATCACATAAAATAAACAATTCTCACAGAAGGTTCAAAGAGTGAACACATAAAAATTAAATGATTTAACTGATTGTGATATATTTTGGAAAAACTCTTCCAAAAGAACTTTTTAGGATGAGCACTTAATGTATTTCTTTCCTAATTATAAAGGTAGAAAAAGCAGCACCAGAATTCTACCTGACTCATCTTTGACAGAGTTCTCTGAATTATTTGTTTTGCAATTTGGTTAAAATATACTTTCAAGTTTCATTGTGCCTAACTTCATTTTAAATCAATGCACTCACTGTACTGTCTGAAATATAATTGCGTACTGCTGTGTATAAATGTGTTTAGAATCCTCCCACATATGAAATAGACAGTCTGTGGCCAGAAGGCTGACTGACTTTTTAGTCTGAGTCATACTACACAGCCTGAATTCAATATTAATTCAGGTATGACAGTCCCAGGAGTTGGAAGCTGGTAAATACTGGTTTCCCAAAATGAGAAAATAATGTTTTTCGATCTCAATTATACTTTCACACATATTTTCGAAAGCATCCTCTAACAATGAAGCAGATGCCTTATTCTCAGTATTCTGGAGTTCTACTATGGGTCCCAGATTTCCTACTTACAGAAGAGTAAAACTTGGAAAATATGCTAGTAGCATTTTGCATTATTTTTCTTTAAATGTCTTAATAACTCAGTTATAAATCTATATTACATGAGCAAATGAAGCTCTGAAGAGTTATATACCTTGCCTGAACTACCAGGGAGCTGAGATTCAAAGCCAGATCATTCAAACCCTAAATGTACACACTTAAGCATCACGCAAGAGCCTCCAAAGGAGGACTCATCTCTCCAAAAGCCTCTGCATCAACTCAAGAGAAGAGTGACAGTGTAATTTTTCAGACCTCTACTTACCTTCAGGGGACGCAGAGCGCGGCAACATTTTGTCCACCAGCTGTTTTCAATGAATTCTAAGTGCCTCTCTCTTTTCTTAAGTGTTCGTAACCTTTCTTCAAATTGCTTTAAGGAGCGTTTATCCCTTGCAGGCAAAGGTCGACCATCTTTGCTCTGAAAATAACAGAAAAAATTAAAGGATTTTCTGTTCTGTTTTGTGTTTCACCATTAAAGTCTGAATAAAGTACCCATCAGAGTTAGCAGCTCAAACAACAAAGTTTTTTGTTGCTTTTTTTTAAGCTTAGGCACTCTTTCAGTAAATTTAAAAACTGAAAAACGATGGCAACTGCAATGTGACAATAAATGTAGCTAAACCAATGTCAGTATCAAAATACAGGCGTGTAAATTTAATAATGACCTTCCTCTTCTTCCCTCTTTTCAAAAAATGTGCTTAAAATTATGTGGAGATAATTACTTGTCAAAAACAGCCACGAAAGGTGTTTGTTTCTAAGAAGTGTTGGCTGTTAGGCACTTTAAAACTCCCCCCCCCCCACCCCCAAGCTCCTCTCTACCCTCGTTCCTGTGGCCCTGCCTCCGCCCACCCTTGAGTTGTGGCTGTGTCCCCTGGGCTCAAGTCTCTCAGCCCACTTCAAACACCACGAGAGGCATAAGGAGATAACTTCTAAATACACAAGAGAAGAAATGTACATTTGTTTGCGTTCATTGGAAAGATCAAGAAAAATACTTACATGTGACATTTAAACATGTAAAGACATTAGAATAGAGAATGTCTGTAAAATCCCTATTAAGGCTTAAATGGGTTCTTAGCAGATGCACAAAGTACTGCTCCCTAGCATACTGACTGCAGTCTCAATTTAAAATCTACAATGAAGATTTTACCCAAAAACCCTTTAAAAAGGAGATGCTCAAAATTATAAAAATCTCTTTACATATGTGTATTACCAGGCTCTTCTAAAGCCAATTATCCTTCTCTATGTTTTATTTTAAAGCTTCTCAGACTTATCATTCATTAGAATCACCTGAAAATCTTGTTAAACAGATTCCTAGGCTCTACTTCCAGAGAAGACAATTTAAGTCTTGCATGGGCCTAGGATTTGCATTTCTACCGAATTCCCAGAAGAGGCCGATGCCTCTGGTCCAGAGACTACACTCTGGCTTGAATTCAGAACCCAGTTTTATAAATAGGAGATTTCACGTGAATTCCATTTTTGGTATTTTATTGATTGTATTGAATTAACACCTAAACTTGTGAACACTGTCATCTGTGGAATACTGAGTCTTCTCAATTAGGAACTGATGAATTTCATTTGAGTCTTCTGTATGTACTTCTGTAAATTTTATCACTTCCATCTTGATAGTCTTTATTATTTTTATAACCAGGGCTACTGTGAATGGAGTAATTCTCTAGGTATCCTCTAAATGGTTAATATTTTTATATATTTGTATCTAGGTACCTTATTTCTAGCTTGTCAATTAATTCTCTTGGTAGATATTTGTAAACAACAAAGATAGCTCTCTTCTTTGCTCCCCTCCTCCCAGTGTTTTTATTTAATTCCTTCTCATTTGACCTAGATCTCCAGAATATGCTGAAAAGCTGCAAGAATACTGACATTATTATCCTGTCTGACTTTAATGGGAATATTTCTTTCCCTGTTAAAATATGATGCTCCCCCCCCCCGACAAAAAAGAAATGATGTTCATTAGAGGCTCCTCTGGTTCAGTATTTTCTTCTCTCTAATTTGGCAATATTTCGTTTTCTTTTTAATCATAACTACACATTGACTTTTACCAAATTCTCTTGGGCATCTATTAGGATGTCTGTATTTCTCATTTAATTTTAATATGTTAAACTACTTTAATGTATTTGCTAATGTATCACCTTTGGATCTCTGAGGTAAACCTAGACTATTATAAAATATTCTTTTATTATAGTATAAGTTTTAAATTGCTAATATTTTTGTTTCAATTAAAATATTTGCCTCTATTTCCATATCAGAGACAGTATGTGCTTTTCCTTTTTATGTGCTATTACTGATTTCTTCAGCAGGTCCATGCACAGTAAAATAATGTATGTTTGGGTTTTTTTCCTATGTTCTTTAAATAACATTTGTATGTTATTTGAAGGTCATAAAGGAAAAAAAACCTTTGTTTTTAGAACTATAAATGGCAAGTGATTGCATGTAATCTGTAATTTGCTAAAAACAAAACGTGAAACATAAGTCATGCAGTAAAATACAGTGTTACATACGGAATAATCAGAATAACTGTGGACTAGTAAGGTCCTCTCATAAACAGGCAGAAGTTTCATTTTTTAGTTGTTAGAACATTGACAGAAATCCTCAAACTGCCAATGTCCTACACTACACAGAAGATAATTTTTAAAAATAGGAACATGATTCTTGAAAGATATATTATAGACATTAAAACCATGTAAAAATTACGGGTTTGCCACTGTTGAAGTCACAGCTGGAAAATAATTTTATGCTTCCCAATTACAATAAAACACCAACTCACTTTGGATTTGATCGCTTGAATGTGTTGCTCCACTTCTTCAATGTCTTCAGTGTTTTCTAACCGTTCATATGCAGCACTTCTAGTGCCTTTTATCAGATTTAAAGGTAATGCAGACATACCATAGGCCTAAAAAAATGAAATGCTTCAATGAAGCTATTTTAAACATACACAATTTTCAGGTTAAAAATGTTCTTAGTCATAACTTGAAAGTGAGTAGTTGTAAAAGAGCAGAGTCACTGAAGAACAAAGTATGTGGGAGTGAATCAATTGTACTGCTTCATAATTCTCTTGTTGATCTCCACTTACTTGTATGCAGTTATGTTTATAATACTATTCCTGAACGGACAAGCTGCAAATTTAATGTAAACATAATACTGTATCAAAGTAATGAGTTACAACTTCAGGCTAATTAAGTTAGGGTAGTGTGAAAAAGTACAAGCAAGTTACAAAATGATTTTCTATTAAAAGAAATATAGCCTGGGATGTAGCTCAGTGGCATCGTGCCTGCCTGGCAAGCGCAAGGTCCTGACTCCGATCCCTGATACTAAAAAACAGTAACAACAAAAAGAAATATAATTTTCTCCAAGTATATATAGTAAGCCTTAAGAAAACACAAGTGTTTCAATACATACCTGGTATTTGATGAGTGTACTGATTATCTATATGTGCGATTTATTTAAAAATTCTTCATATTCATAACCAATCTTTTTGCTAAGTATTTTAAACATTTTCCAACAAGTAATTTTAACTATTAGAATATTAAGAATAATTTATTATATGTACTACCGAACCTCATATTCCAGTTTCAAATAACTTTTCATTGTAACCATTGATAGAACATTCAATGGCAATTGCCATGTGGCCAGTATTTGGAGTTTGACTGCTTCTGGTTTGGGTTTTGTTTTTTTGAGACAGGGTCTCAGTATGCAGTTCAAGCTGGCCTTGAACTCACTATGTATCCCAGACTGGGCTTGAACTTGCAGCTTGAACTCTTGCTTCAGCTTCCCAAGTGTTGGGATTACAGGTGTGCACCACCACACCAGGCCATTACTGACTTGTAACTCTTAGAAAAAACATTGACAACCATTATCTCTTGGTCACTACATCACACGGTGAAGCAATATAAAATTATAATTTTCAATCTTGGTCATTTTCTTCTGCGCATACAACCAAATTGCTTTGCCCAGTCTCTCCGTGGATGGATAGGGCCCCGAGACTGAGTTCTGGACAAGGAATATTTGCTTTTTTTTGGTACCAGAGATTGAACTTGGGACCTTGCGCTTGCAAGGCAGGCGGCGAAACCACTGAGTGGACAAGGAATATGGTCAGCAGCAATGACAACGCTGAAGCTTAGGCTTAATCTCATTCTGTACTGGACGGACTTTAATACTTCAGTACTCAACACTGCTTCCTAAGGAACCTTCTGGCCTGGTCAATATTAACAGCACAGTGCTTACTCAGGTCATCTAATTCCTCCTAACTAGTCTGCTAGTCTCATTTTTACAAGTCCGTCTTCTACACCAGTGAAAGTGAACCTTTTAGAGCCTTGCACAATACGCTGCAGGACGTGTGCCATGGGTTAAGTACCACTGCTCTATACTGCTTCCAATGCGATCTCACTCTAAGGTGAGATGATGTCAATCCCTAATTAATATCCTTTAAAATGCTCCTGGACTAAGAAAGATATCCATCGAAGTGTACTCACAGGAGTTCAATGTTTCTGGGGAGGTGACTCTGAGGCCTTTACAAAAGGCAGCTAGCCATTCAATGCCCTGCCGCTATTTTAACCGGAGCAATTCTATCCATTCATACCGATACCTCATCTCTATATATTTCTGATATGTGTGTATATATAAGAATGCATATATATAAATATATATGAATTTCATGATGGTTTAAAGAAGTTGTTCCACTATTTTTTCAATGAGAGGTAGAATTACTAGTCCCATGAAGAGACACAAATTACTATAATCTTGTGTACTCACCTACTTATAACCTTATCTCATACTTATCTCTTACCTATCTCACAACTACTCATACTTCTTAAAAAAATCCAGTTTTGCACAACTCCAGCCTCTGTCCAGTACCACACTTTAATACCTTAAGTGTTCTTGTCTAGAACACCTACTTTCTTATCCTACTTCATTAGCAAATTTCAGTGCCACTCGATCTCAGCTTAATTAGACCACATCTGAAAAGCTTTCCCTCATTTGTAAATGTGCCTTGCTTAAGGTACCTAACAATGTGTATTTAACATTATTGGTCTGCACACTTGTTTTATTACTCAATCTGCCAAACTTGGCTATGCAGATTTCTCAGCCAGGCTAAGCATAGCAGGAGACTACTGAGGATGCTAGGACTAACTGTCTTTCCTCCTGCCTTTATTCCATGAACAAATGTTGACTAAAATAATTTTCCTGAGATGACAATATTTGGCCAAAAATCTTTTAAGAAGAGAGAGCTCTTAATTCACATGAAGTTATCACCTTATTTTAAATTGGTATGATTTACTAGAAGAGCTGAATCAAATTCCTAAATAGCTAAAGGATTTTAGAAAATAAAAGTACATAATATGAGACCAGAATACAACATTTTTTTTTTCTAAATTTTTAAATGTCTCTGAAGAGAGCAAATAGAAAAAAGTAACTACTCTTTGGTTACCAAGCTTTTAGTTTGTTTTTTAGATTGCATGTTTAAGTTTCAAGGATTATCAGAAAATTTAACTATAATATTTATATTTTTAATAAGGTTGAAATAAAAATTTACAAAGCATTAAAGTCTTTCAGTAATAATCTTTTGCATTTAACCTCAGACTTCTTTTTCAGAAATAAAAATTTTATTGCTTACTACTGCCCTCTAGTGAATTTCAGGAAAAGCAACAAGGCTAAAGAGATTATACAACAGTTTAAAATGCTTTGAGGATGCCTGTAATTGCTTACAATTTTATTTGATTTCCAATAATAAATTACCAACTAAATGTTTAAAAATAACATATTCAAACTAAAAACATTTCTTCTTGCACTGTTTGATTTAGAATGGCACCTTTTACCTATGTATCTCTCCTTTGTCCAGAATTGAGTTTCTAACTATAACCTGGATTACAGTAAAGGGTCACTATCAAGCACTATCTGTAGTCTACATAAACATCTACCACATATTTGTAAAACCCATCATTTAAGGACATACATCTTGTACAACTAATGAAACAATTCATTTAGTAAGCACTCAAGACTAAATGTTCAGTTCTAAGAAGAATATATATATTCATATGTATTTTCTCACATTTTATAGAGGTGAAACTGAGATGTATCTAGATATAGAAGGTATATTATAATCACTGGCTAGGCAGAAGATATGAAACAGTTCTAATTATCCGCACATTCACAAATTTGGCCACAGTTGGTTATATTACATAGTCATCTTTAGTCAAATTACATCCATTCTTCGTATAAATACTGAGTTTAACTGCTACTTATGTCTTGTAAAATAATATTATTACTTGACATTAAAATAAAAGTTAATGCGTAAGGAGAAAGAAAGCAAAGAGGCATAAATAGTAAGGCAAATATTCATTGAAACAAGAAGTATAATTCTGTATTTCTTACAAAGCAACAGTCAAGTGTTTTATGGACTTAAGAAAAGGAGATACTTGAAGGAAGCCATTTTGCATTTTTCTACTTAGTTATGTGCAAAGGAATTGCCTTTCACCCTGCAAGACAAGTAGCAAGAACAAAACAACTTAAATTTACAGATGGGTGTCTCAACAGCCTCAGAGTAAATCCCAGAAATGACAACATTCAAGAAAAGCTGTATCATTAATCCTCATGATACCATAAAGACAATATAGTACAGTGAAACACAGATATCGAGACCAAATCCAAAAAGGACTCAGAATTCTCACACTCAAATGTAAAGTTTTAAAAATACTTTTCCAATTTATTTCACTCATAGTTTGTTAGGTATACAGAAGAGTGGTATGATTTTTTAAAAGTATCTATATAAGCTCTAGAAATTTCTCCCACTAAATATAAAGCAAGAATTGTAAGTGATAAGAAAGCATGG